ATGGCAATCGAGCTTGGACAGCTTCCTAAGCCATTTCTTCCATCTCCACCACAAAGGAGAGAGTTCATGAGCAGTCCCTTGAACAGCAGCAAGGGAAAGCTTCCTCCTCTGCAGGAGTACTCTCATGTGAGGGACAAGATCAGAGTTGGGGATTGACAGCCGCTGATCTGGCTTTGTGGCTTTTCCCAATGGTTTGGTGCATGAAAAACCTCCTTTCCTGCGACTGCATATTCAGAGGAAGGGAAATGAGCTCTCAGGGTGGGACTCTGAGATCATGGGGCAAAACTCCAACTCTAGCTCCTCTTACTAATCTAGTTTATGTCATCCTTATTCTTACTTTAACTTCTTTTCCCTGACATGTCTACTAGGATTCATTCAGGAGAAAGTCAGAGTGACTCAGACGTCTTTCCTTTAGCTTAAGAATTCTCTGGATTTTAACAAGTCTAACTAGCCATGATGTTATCAAACATTATAAAACACAGAACTGAGTGGTGTTTTCTGGGAACAGAAGATCTGAGGAAAGCTCAGCATGGTCCTGGAAGAACATAACTGGGAGAAGATGGCCTATGGTTCCCAGACCTGCTAGGGTCTCTGCACCAGCAGTACAGGAGGGCTATTTGGATAGAGAAAAATGAAGTTCCATTTCTGTATTTCACCTTTCCCTGGTGTCCCAGGCAGTGAACTGTTTGAGACAGATGGGGAAATTTGTCCAAATACAGCATGGCTGGTTTTGCATGGGAAGTTTCAGTCCATGGGATTACACAGTTCTGGGGAAACCCTGTTTTATCTTTACAAAAATATACTCTCATGTGGCAAAGAAATAGAAATAGTGATAGTGGGAAACATGACCTTAAGACTCAACATCTTCTAAAAACGATGTTATGATAATTAACTCTTTCATCTGCTGGAGGGTTCTGGAGGGCCACAAAGAGGCTCAGAGGGTTGGAGCACCTCTGCTGTGGAGACAGGCTGAGGGAGCTGAGTTTGCTCAACCTGGAAAAGAGAAGACTCCAAGGAGACCTTAGAGCACTTTCCAGTGTCTAAAGGGGCTACAAGAGAGTTGGAGAGGGACATTTGACAAGGATTTGTAGTAATAAGACAAGGGGGAGGGTGGCTTCAAATTGTCTGGCAGGGGAGGTTTAGATTAGAATTTAGGAAGAAATTACGATGCTGGTGAGACACTGGTACAGTTGTTTAAAGTAGCCAAGAATCAGATGGACGCATAACTAATTTTGTGGTAGCACCACAGCAGGTCTAATCCCTATCTCTAGATCACCCAGAACTGCCCCTTGTCATGACTTTATATGTATATGACTATATAAATATATATTTATGTGTGTCTGTGTGTATATATATATATATGTATATATATATACATATACAGATGTATATGTATATATATAGATATAGATGTGTATGTGTACATATGTGTAATATATCTACATTTATATCATATATAAATATTATATATTAGCTGGATCTGAGCCAAAGGATTTAATTCCCAATTTTTTCACCTTTGAACTGGCCTTTTGCTTTACGGATGTCAGCTTTGACATGGCAAAGGCCTAGAATAAGGCGTAGAAAAAATGAACAAAATGGAAAATTAATCAAAAGTTTCCAGTTTAATAAATTCCCTACTCAGAGCTACAAAAACTGAACAGTGTAAAGACCCTACTGAATGGATCCTTACAAGTTCATGTCTGGAGATATCACCATGATGTTTACATGGAAAATCACAACCCAGACTAGGGGGTTTTCCCATGGTTTTCCCCAGAAAGCATTTGGCTCAGCCGAGTCCTGAGCACACATTTCCTCTCTCTGGCTCCCTGGGGCTGCTCCTTGGCAGAGCTCAGGAAATCTGATGGTGATTCCCGAAAAGCAGCTCCTGAGATGGGGGCAGAGTGAGCACATATCCTGGATAAGCCATACTCGGAAATGCGGAGGGTGGAGAGGAACAACGATGACATCTTCCTGATGCCACCAGTACCTCCTGCCTTGAGCTTCAGCCCCTCTGACCAGAGCTGCGTTTGCTGGGCAGGGAGGTCACCCAGCAAATCTTCATGCAGTGATGTTCCTGGAGAAAGCAGCTGAGCAGAACCAAAACAAACCAAACCCTTTTCACCACTTTTCAACACTTTTTCATCATAAATACAGATCCCAGCACCAGGCTTGCTTGGAGGTTGTGGTCTGAGCAAATCCTGATCATCAGTATAGGGCAAGTGGGGTATTTCAATGCTACTAAAAGCAAACAACAGGAAGCCTGATCATACTCCCTTAACCTAAACTTTTTTATCTTAAGATACATATCTTAAGACCTGCAGAGGCGAGTAATGTACCAAGGGGTACAAGATGCTGTATATGAGATGTTGCAGCAAGCCACAGGATATGTCCTCTGTGATTCACGGACCCTTGCAGTCCCTTTTGCCTTTTCCAATGTCATGGCACCATGACATGAGGCACGTGACACCCTGAGACAAGCTCAGTTGGTTTGAGCCTGGTGTTAAAAACACCAAGGTTGCGCATTCAATCCCTGTATGAGCAATTCACCTTAGAGCTGGACTTGATGATCCTTGTGAGTTCCTTCCAGCTCAGAACATTCTGTGAATCTGTGACTTCTGATCCCCTTTCCAGTACCACCATCGTGACTAAAGCCACCGCTGGGCCGCTACAGATAATAGCCAAGAAATTCTGACTCAGGGCTGCTCATTCACAGCCCGAGGCACTGCCTATCCTCAGTTCAGACTCTGTGCCCCACACTGTGGATTAATATCTGGTTTCATTTGTTTTGTTTTGTTTTTCCTTTATTCTATTTCGAGGGTTACACCACGCAACTTGTCGGCCCCGGTCTCCTGCCCGCTGGCATTGCTCAAGCGTTGGTGCTGCCTGGTCCTACCTGCGCCCTGGGGTGCTGGAGCTGGCCTCGGCACTAAATGCCTGGAAAACTGAATGAAGGCAGTGTTCGGGAATAGAACTCACGTCTGCAAATACAGCCCTGCAGAGGTCAGGGCTAGAAACAAGGTTGTGCTGAAAGGGCAACTCCGGTGTGATCCCCAAGAAAGCAAAGGAACGACAAGGAATTTTAGCTAGGGGGGATGCAAAGCAGCAGGGAGGGGGGCCGTGTGTGTGTGTGTGCAAAGCCGGCTCGACACCTCCCCCCGCCTTTTCCCTTGTTAAGGGGGGTCTGCCAGCTCAGGAGTGGCACAGTCTAGCGCAAGTCCTGCCTCCTGCCTCCTTCCTCCTCCTCCTTCTCCTCCTCCTCCCAGATGTTCCCTTGTGTGCAGCCATCTGTTGAGCTCCCTCCTCCCTCCTCCTGCGGGGAAGGGGGCAGCCAGCTTGCCCGGCCAGCTGCACGCCTCGGACGGGAAGGAGGAGGGAGAAGGAGGAGAGAAGAAGGGGACAGCCGGCCCCAAGCCCTGCTGCTGCCTGCTGCC